AAACAAGGTTTGGGTGTTTTTAATATAACTTATGAATTAAGGCTTGGGATGTTTCCCCAGCTATTCCGTCCTCACATGTCTTCACCAGGACGGGGTTTAGTCATGGAACTCGGCTTCCATTTTTCCTACACAGTTGCTGTCGGGGAGGTTTTGGAGAGAGTGCATGTGATAGTCCTGAAAACATCAGTAAATCTTTCAGCAGTCCCTTAAGGCAACAATTAAAATGACAGTAGTTGGTAGTAATCCTTCAGAGCTGGTGAAATAGCGGCCACTTTGTGCTTAGCAGGCTTGGCCTAGGCAAAGTGCTTGGTGTGCTGTGATGTATAGGTTAAAAAAAAAAAACACCATTATTTTAAAGAATCGGCTAGATCTGGTTTTGAAGCATGTGGATTCTTTAATGTGTTGGACATTTTAATCTGTTGGACATGCAAAAACTTTTTAGTGCTGTATGTGAAGCCGAGGCTGGGATTTCTGCACTGTTGATCAGCTGCTGGGAGTCCTTCAAGTCTGTTAGTACAGCCATTCAGTCACTTAAGGACTGAATGCAGATTGATTTTTTTTTTTGACCCTGATGTAGCAAAATTCTCAGTGTCTGTCTTTTGCATGAAATCAAGAACATAGCCTCGTCCTTGGCTAGCTTCTGAAAACCTTAGTTCTCCTCGTTTTCTTAAGCTGTATCATAATAAGCCATATGACGGCTTCTTAAAATATTCTTGTTTTGCAGTTTCCTTGCAGCAGTATCTTGGATAGCAACTGGAAGAGATACTAGCTGTTGATTTCTTTATTCCATATGTTGTTGTCCTCTCTAGATGAGATCATGGCTAATCTTTAAGGGGTACAGTTGAAATATTCATGCACAGTGTCTTGAGAATCACGTTACCAGTGTTAGGTCTGGCTTTCTATTTTAAATGATGGTAGAGCTTCATAATTTGGAAGGTACTGTGAGAGCATCTTGTATGATGTTTACGTAAAAGTAATGTGCTTCCATGTTTAGTCTGGGGAGGGGGTATAAGGCTGATCTGGAAAATTAAGTACAGTTTCTAAGGAAAAATAAGGGCATGTTCAACAGGAGCTTGTGACAGTTCTTATTGAAACTTTATTTCTCCTTTCCCCAGGAGCCAAAAATCAAGAATAGTTCTAGTGTGGAGTGATTTTAAAAAGTAAAAAATTCTTTTATCAGCAGTTAACGCAAATAAGGTAATGTGCTTGGCAGAGACTTGGAAGGCAGTTTGGTGTTATATTTGTTGGTCATCTCCTTCTTTCCTCTGGGAATGTGAAGTAGCTATAACTGGATTTCAGTTAGAGTTCTATACATTTTTGTGGGTTGAACTAGGACTGCTTGCTGTCTGAACTCATAGCAAGTCAGTTTAGTTTTGTATGAATTGGTGTTTTGTAGCTGAAGCTTGCACCACATCTTTGCTTGAGTTGTAGGAGTAAGCAAAAACTCAGTGTTCACTCTGCTAAGGAGTATTGTTCAGATCAAACTTTTCTTCTAGACTTTTTGCTATTAATGCTACATTTCAAACTTCAGGTTTCCAGAATGTGTTGAAATGTGTTTTCACTCAATTTTTGATATTAAATTGATGAAGTGAGAATGACTATTTCATATATACCAAATTCATACAGTTGAAGTGGATGCTGTTGTTGAGAACATAGTGTACTTTCTCCAACCCCCCTGAAAATTGTACTGAAGTAGCGTTGTCTGCTACAGTACATCAAAGCAGATTAGTGCCCAATTCTTAGGAGAAAATATTGACTTTTGTTCTTATCTTGTTGAGTTTCCCATAGAGCCACTAACATGTTTTGCAGCTTCTTGTAAGAAATGTTTGTGCAAGGTCAAAGGATGAGCTCTCCTAGTTTCTTGTGTTTGGTGCTGGTCAAAAGTTCGTGTCTAGGGAATGCTGTTGTGAGGTGAGGACAAACACTTGATGCTTATAATGGATTGGTGCCTGGAGCAGTATGACAGGTAAACTTGTAACATCCACTCTATCTGATGGCAGAGTTGTGTAGCTAAGGTAAGCTGCATGTAGAACCGCTGCCTCTTGAACCTGTTAGGGCTCTCCTCATTTGCTAAGACTACTAAAGGGTGTAGTGAGAGGCATCAAATAAAAATCCCTATTCCCCTTCACTAACCAGGAGGATGCTTTAGGACTTGTATTATATCCCCTTTTGTCGTTTCTTTTCACTCTACTTTGCTCTGTTACTTGCCTTACTTCTGATCATCCCTGTTACTGCTATTTATGCAGTAAGTTTAAGTATTTGTTCATATTTTAGTGTAGGAGTAATAATGGTAATTATGCTGTGTACTTTTTTATAAATGCTCTATTTTGTAAGAGCTGTTGTTGCTTGTTACTGACCTCATTTCAGTTATCTGTGAGGTGAACAACTGTCTTTTTGTCATTGCTATTTCTTGGGTCTCTAATACATAATGGCTTTGTAACTTCATGGGAGCACAAATGATTTTTTCCCAATGTATAATGTACAGCTGCAAGTAAATACCACATGTTAAATGGTGTGTCCACTGTGTAGTAACTTTTCTATTCTTTGTTATTCCAGAGCTTTCTTGGAGGCTTGTTCAGTTCTGTTGGTGAGATTGATGTTATTCTTAATGATGCTGAAACACGAAAAACAGCAGAAATCAAAACAGAAGATGGTAAAGTAGAAAAGCATTTTCTCTTCTATGATGGTGAATCTGTTACAGGAAAGGTAAATCTTTTTTTAAAGTAAATATTAATACTGTACTGTCTCTGGCATATGAGTGCATATAAGAAGGTAAATGAAAAACTGATATAAGCAAGAGCTGCAATTTCAGCTTGTGTTATTATTCAGAGAGGAAACACTGTTGTTTTCCTATATGTGTGTTTTTTACCTATAGTCATTCAGGCAACTGGTAAAACTGAACATTTTACTAGTTTTTTGTTTCAGGTCATCTTGTGTTTGTAAATAAGTTGTTTTGTGCAACCATGTGCAATCCTATCCTTGCTTCTGACAAGCAAACTATTCCAGACTGGATCTGAACTGCTTCCCCTTGAACTCCAAAAGCCATAACCCAGCTGTGTAACAGTAGTTTTTGGCTGGCACAGCCAACTTGCTTTGCATACCCTGAAGCTAAACCTTGTGTTTCATGCCCTGAAGTGGTTTATGGAATTGCATCAGACTGGTAACACATGAAGTTGAGCTGGCTGCTGAGTCAACAAGATTTTTTTCTTGTCGGGGGTGTACCTCTGTGTGTGTGTGTGTGTGTGTGTGTGTGTGTGTGTGTGAAGAGGATGAGGGACAACAGCTCCTTGCCATCACTCTGGTTTTACTGAAGCCATTCTTGCTCTCTGAATGATTCTGTTGCAATTACTTTTCCTTAAAAAAACTTGATCCAGATATTGGGTACTGAGATTGACTTCCAAATATCTAGTTCAGTCTTGACTGACCTGTTGTCACTGGGCATCTTTTCGCTCTTAAGATATCTTTCCATGCTTTCCGTAAGATCTTGGTTTTCTAGAAAGATCCTTTCAGGGATGTGAAACTCTCACACGATGGGCCTCAAAACTCAGGAAACTGAGAAAACTAGCTTTTGTATGTTCATTTGCCTGAGCACTTCTCGCTTGTTTTGGTGATGCCTGAGAGGTGCCTGATGGTAAAAGGTGTTAGCCTTCTGGCTAACAGAAGCACAGTGGAATAAGGAGGTCTGGAAGACTAGTAATTTATTGGACAACTTCCTTCTATGTCTTTCCTCCTTTTTACCACAAAGATAAGTTATTCAAGTGGTTTACTTCCTACTCTAATATCAACAGTATACTGGGTTTTAAGGTACAGGAATTTCTCTAGCCATCACTACCTTGTAAGAAAACATTATATATGATTAATATTTACATGTTTCCATAGAAAGTAATCTTATGGAACTTCTTCTTGTGAGGTTAGGTCTGGTTTTGAGAATCAAGTTCACAAATGAAGGTCTTGATAGTAGGTTTCATTATCTGTTATTTTTCATTGACTTCTCTAACAGCAATATGTGGCTGTCTGCTGAGGAAGGGACTTAGGTTCACTTGACTTGAAAGGAATGCATCTTATGGCAGTTCTTTTTTGGACTTCCAAATGTGACTGTCAGAAGATGGCTTCAAGCTTTCTACCTTCAAAGATGGCAAGAGGGTCACAACTGGCTTATGTGAATTCTGCTTGAGGTCTAGCTGGGATTCTTAATTTTGGGACTAAAGGGTTTCAAGCTTCATTATAAATTCAGGCTTGTGGATGATTAGATTTTTCTTAAATGCTTTAGTGGTGCCTTCATAATGCTTAATTTCATAACCAGCTGTTTGATTTGGTTGCCTTCAAGCTCAGGTAGCCCTTTTGAGAAGAGGTCTCAGTTTTCATAGGCATATAGTAATGTTTTTCTTCTTACTGGGATCATGTATTACAGTGAAGTGTTGGGAAAAAATGTAACTGGTGGTTTGTTTATTTGTCTTTTCCCTTGCTAGGTGAATGTTTCCCTTAAGCATGGGAAGAGACTAGAGCACCAAGGAATTAGAATTGAATTTGTAGGACAAATTGGTGAGTTTAAAGCTATAAAGGGGATATTGGGTGTGTGTGGTTTATGGAACTTTGTACTGTCAACAGTTTGGCTCTAACATTGCAAATTTTATCAAATTAGTTGATGAAGTGCCAAAGGAAGATTAAATCCTTATTTTAATACAACTAATGTACTGATTTGTGCTACTCAAAGTCACTGGCAGGGAATATATGTACATGTGAGAGAACTGGGATAGTGAGCATTTTGTCTGTCAGACTGGTTAAAAGTTTGACTAAGAACCACTCGAGACTAATGTTTTTCTAACTTTATAAGTTTTTATCTTGTTGAGAATTGCATGGCACAGATCTAGGATGAATTATAATGACACTGGTCTGGAGACAGGAGGTGCTGTTGCTGTGAAACTGCTGTGTCTATGCTTATGTATTAAGAACTTGTTTCCAAGTGGCTGACTTAGACGAGTGGTTGTAATAAACCATTTGACTGTAGACTAGTAGTGATAGCAAATCATTCGATAGGTGGTGTTAATCTGTGTGAGACCAGCTGGGATTGCTGGCCTATCCTATATGAACCAGTCTTGATGTTGCTTAGGTTTTGTGCCTTCAGCAATAAATGCTGAAGCTAAAATCAGGCAATGCTAATTACAGAGATTTACAAGAAGTACTTATTAAAGCTAGCTAAACGGTCATTTAAAAAAAATGCCATGCTAGTGAAGCTTCAAGTATGTGTTCCGTTTGTTGCAGTTAGTTCTTTAGCAATGCTTACTGTAGGCTGCTGAAACTGAAGATAACTTAGGAAAACTGGATACAATATTTGGTCACATACATGTGGCTTAAATCAAATTAATTGATTCTGTTGTCCTCTCCTACCTGCTCCTGCCAAAATAGAGGCAGTTTTGTTTGCTAAAAATAAACACTGAAACATGTTTTCCTTTAACTTCCTCAACTGCAGAGCTCTTCAATGACAAAAGCAATACCCACGAATTTGTAAACTTAGTGAAAGAACTGGCCTTACCTGGAGAACTGACCCAAAGCAGAAGTTATGACTTTGAGTTCATGCAGGTTGAAAAGCCATACGAATCCTACATTGGTGCCAATGTCAGACTGAGGTTTGTAACTGTTAAACTGCCTCTCCTTTCCTCTCCTGTGGAAAATTTGTAATTTAGCAATTATGCTGCCCCTTCCCCTTCTTCCTTCTTTAGGATTTCAAATCAGACATATAACAGCCAATAACTAGTGTGCCTTGAGTAGACTTGAGATTGTGTTATAATGTAGCCATTTCTACTTTTTTGGAATTGCTCACTGTTGTTTTTATAGGTAAAATTCTTTCAATCAAGTGAAGATGGTCCTTGTCTCTCCTTTAAAAAAAAAATCAACAACAACAATAATAGAATTCCCACAACTAACCAAAACACCCCCGTATTTCTACCTAGAAGTGTTTTGTCTTGTGTTTTGGTGTCTTACTCTTTTCTGCTTAGTCTTGAGAGTGTACTCTTGTTTTTTCAGCCATCACCTGTACTTCAGAACATAAGGGGTTTTACTTATGTAATTCTGAATAATTATGGCTAACTTGGTGGCTTTCTTCCTAGGTATTTTCTGAAAGTAACGATAGTGAGACGGCTGTCAGACTTGGTGAAAGAGTATGATCTGATTGTTCACCAGCTTGCTACGTACCCAGATGTGAACAACTCCATTAAAATGGAAGTAGGCATTGAAGACTGTCTTCATATAGAGTTTGAATACAACAAGTCAAAGTAAGTGTCACTTAGAACAAAATAAATTGAAATAAGTATCTTGGGGATAAAAGGGTGGAGTACATAATATTTGATGAACAATCTTGGCATCTGGAGGCTTAAAATATAAAGCAACATTTTCAATTATTGTGTTGAGCTGTTTGGTTATTAATTACACAGTGATCTTTTCTGAGGAATACTTGTCTGTTCTGCCTTCAGTACTAATAGCAAGGTCACTAGCAAATATTTAAGACTTGATTCTGCATTTATGCTTTTTCTGTGTAACTACAGTACTTCCTTTACTAATACTGTGATGATGGAAAGGTGCTTATTGCACTGGTCTGGCTGAGATGCTTAGCTCAGTGGGGAAGTAAGCTCTAAACAGTTAACAAGCAGATAAGGTAACTGCCTGTATAACTTGTATTCAGGAAGGTGTAAAAAATGTGTTTATTCTTTAATTAAACCACCAATTCTATTCTTTTAAAGGTATCACTTAAAGGATGTGATTGTTGGAAAAATTTATTTTCTCTTAGTGAGAATCAAAATTCAGCATATGGAGTTGCAGCTGATCAAAAAGGAGATTACTGGAATTGGTAAGAGAAACAAAATCCAAAAGAAATGGCAACTTGTATGCTAGTTGAGCCTTATGCAAACCTGGAGAGTGAAATCAATAGTTGCAGCTTTGGCTAAACTAATGCTCTATGTGCTTCTTCCTCACTGCTGTTTGACTACCATTTGCATTCTGTGCTTTGGTAATCATACTTAGTAGTCAACATAGTCTGTAGCATTATCTTGGGATTGTGACCGTCAGGCTAGCTTCACAAATATGAGCCCTTGTAAATGGAACTTGGGCATAAATATGCAGCAGCTTTATCAGTCTTGATAGATAATGAACAAGGGAGAAGGTATGAAATGAATCTTGAAGACCCCTTGCCTCTGCAGAGATTAGCTTGTAAAGCAGGTTTGGTAAAGATTAGCACTGGTCTCTCGCATTCTAGAAATATGCTATTTTCAGTTGATCTAAAACTGATATGATGGAAATATCAAGAGGTTTTGAAGCAGCAATAACTTGAATATTGCAGATCAGGCTTGTACAGCCTGGAACTAGGAAGGTAGCAAGAGGCTATGGGTCATGACTTTATTTCCCAGTAGCTGGGGCCCCAGTGAGCTGTTTGTGTGGAGAACGGGAAAGCTTCCATAGTGATAGAGGAATGGCAGAGAGCTCTACTTTGTTATTGGCTTTTGTGGCTAAATTAGGTGCTCTCGTTTCTTCATCCTAGGCTCCAGAGAAAGATGGCTCTTGTGCTAGGTGATAAACCCGATTTCTAGTCTGATCATGGCCTAGCAGTATCAGTCGCTAGCACTGGCCACCCAGCTGAGTGGTTTCACAAGTCTCATCCCACATGCTTGTCTCTCTTATTTAATGCCTGCATACCCAGAGTTCTTTTGAAGTGCTAAATACTGCCTCTTTGTTAGTGTGGGGAGGAAAGAGTAAGAAATAGATGCTCTGCCTGGGAGAGGGTTTTGCTTTTTTTAGCTATGTGTAACTTGTATGCAAGACAAAGACAAAAAATGGAGTGTTGTGTAACTTAAATGCTGCAGAGTAGAAATTGCTGTGATAAAGCTTTGCAAATGTTTAAAACTGAAGCACGTGTTCTCACAGTGAAAACCTGTTTCACCAGGACCCAGTACCACAACAGAGACTGAAACTATTGCAAAGTATGAAATAATGGATGGTGCACCTGTTAAAGGTAAGAAACTGTGCTGGTTTTAAGGTAAGCATTTTGAGTTAAAACTGTATTTAAAAAAATCTGGAGGGGAAGAGATTACTTGTGTAGATTTTTTTCTTGCAGAAACCAAACTTCTTACGTTGCTGAAATGATAGTGGCTTTTCCTGTTCAAAGCAGATATTTTCATTAACTTACAGTATTTCACTTGGGATCCTAGTAATTCTTACCCTTACTTGTCTCTGGAAATTCTAGGACTGCTCCTTTTATCACTTTGGTTCAAACCTGCTTCCATGGTGTAGACCAGCTCTAAAGAGCTCAAGAATACTGATCCTTTTGTCTTGCCTGGCTACCATGCTTTGCTGAGAAAGTGTTCCCACTTTTGATTTCACACTTGCCTCTGTGCTGTGTTATGTTTGTGATGTTCTTTGGTGGGTTTCCTTTTTTTATTCTTTAGCCAAGGAAGGGGCACAGACAGTACTAGGGAAACTACCTTTATTTTGCATGTCTGAACTAATCGAAGCTCGGTGGTTTTTTTGTGTTTAAGGTGAATCGATTCCCATAAGACTGTTCTTAGCAGGCTATGACCCAACTCCAACAATGAGGGATGTGAACAAAAAATTTTCAGTGAGGTACTTCTTAAATCTAGTGCTTGTGGATGAAGAAGACAGACGGTACTTCAAACAGCAGGTACGGTCTGAGGAATCTTGTTGCAGAATTATCTGGGTGGTTGTACGTGCTGCTTTGAATGTTCAGCATGTTAAAAGCCACCTGTGCTTCATGTATGGCATAACCATTTCTGCTGGCGAGTGTACTGGAAGCTGTATAGAAAATGTTAGTTTGCAAAAAGTAGTCAAGGGGAATGATTGATACTAATTTAGCAAGTATAGGATGTTCAGTCCCATAGAACAACCTTGCATTGTGAATATCAGGGAAAACACTTTGTGAGTAAAATAAGCTACAGTTGCATTTGTTTGCTTGCTTGCTTAAACTACTGGATATACTGCTATGTGGATTAGGTCAGAATCTTCCTTTTAAAGAATAGTCAAGGCAATGTAATTAAATATGTTAAACAGAAGGTAACCGTGCCAAGCATGCAGTGGCCATGATGGATTTTGAGAAAAAGATTTTGAGATTGGATTTTGAGAAAAAGATTGGATTTTGAGAAAAAGAAGAAGAAAGCTTTTTAATACTTGCAAAGTTGAGAGTAGGGTTGTTAAAGAAGAGGTGACTGCTCAAGTAATAAAGATAAGCATTCACACAATAACAAATTACGTAAATTTACTTGTGTCATCTTTCTGTTACTTTCCATATATACTGCATTGTTCTATAACTAATGAGGATGCAGTTTTTGTGGTCTGTAGTGTTTTGGGGTTTGTGGTTTTCATCCCCCCCCCCCCAAAAAAAAAGTCTTTTTCTGTCGGGAACTTAAGGTACTTGATGCTGCTGACTTAATGGTAATTGGTGGTTTCAAAAGTGTTTGCTTCCTCAAATAGGAAATAATTTTATGGAGAAAAGCTCCTGAGAAGCTGAGGAAACAACGAACAAACTTTCACCAGCGATTTGAATCTCCAGAATCACAAACGTCTGCTGAGCAACCTGAAATGTGAACTTGTATAAGGTGAAAAACTTTGTGATGCTTCAGCAGGTTAAAGGTGGCAGCAGCCTGTGGGAAAAGAAGGCCAGAATTCCCATTACGACTGTCTTCCTTCATCTTGCAGTGCTGCATTTACCATACTACTAAAGCAGTCTTCAGTTAAACATTCAAGTATGTATATACATCTAAAATAAAGTGCTTTCTCAAACACTGGAACTTTCTTAAGCTATATTTTATACTGCACATTTACTTTTATTTGATAATGTTATATGCACTTGGATATGCATAATCTTAAATCTAATTATTTCCATGCATGGTAGGCTGGTATATTTGATTTTTGCTGATCACCTATACAATGTAGACTAAAGCATTTCCCTTCTCTCATGTTGTTTATTGCATGTTTCTTTCAAATGTTGCTTATTTCCATTTGTTTTGTTTTGAAACTACAGTAAGACACAATTGACTAAATCACACTAAAAGTCGAGGTTTACAGTGAGATTGTGTCCTAAGACACTTACTTGTCCTAAGACTTGTAATTACTATGTTAGACAGGGTTTAACTGAAACTGCATGTATATGCACTATGACTGTAACTGTGGAGTCTTTGGACACTTTACCAAGGTTTCTGAGAAGCTTTGAATCTGTCAGTAGCGAAGAATATTAGGAAGCATCTTTGCCCTCCTTCCCCTAATTCTCTCTCTGCCATACTTCTCTATGCCTTTCATGTGAGTCACTCCTGACTTTTGGGTGCTCGTTGCCTGGTAACCGGTGATGTACAGATGTTGTCATGATTTCACCTTCAGGTGGTGAGCGGGTAAAGTATTTGAAGGTAATTATCTCTTATTGATGAAATAAATGCTGGTAACATGGATTATTTTGCAAACACGTGAAACTGTGATTCCTCCTGGCTTCATGCTTCCACTGTCTTCAGAGTCTGTCTCTTCACTGTCCTGACAAGAGAGACAAAACGTCCTCAAAGGACATCTTCCTCCTAGTCCATCTGGGCCTGTTATGAGGGCATGCAAGCTCTTTGTGGTCTTCTGGAAAGGTATTTTGAAGCCAGGCAAGCCTTAAAAACGTTAGAAGCTTGTCTGGTACAGCAGATTGTTTCTCTTAATCATCTCATATGCATTTAGTGTTTGAAGAAATAGCTTAAAAGAAGTTAGTGTTCATCTATTCATAACTGAGCATGCAGTCTGTTATCAGACACATGACTTGGGCATGAAGTGAAGCCTGCTGTGTGGAAGGCTACTTGTGCTTGTAGTTCACTTGGTCTTTAAACCAAGGCTTCTCAACTCTGGTGCAAGTGTCATTGGTAACCTTACTTTATGAGTAAGTAAATAATCAAATTACATTTCTGTAAGAACTGTTTTATTACTGTGGCACTTTGATAAAGCAGACAAAGATGCTGTACTTTATGCTGGTATACTTCTAACGTGGGTATCTTTGAGAGCAAATTCAACTCCCTCATGTAAGTGCCTGTTCAGAAATTTAAAGTAAAAAGCCAAATATTTTCATGGTCACTTGCATGTTGTAATCGGGAAATGATTCCAAGAGATTTTGAAAACTTGATTGTACTTAACCAGCCTCAGACTGTGCAACCATGTGTAACAACCGGGAAACATACTGAGCTGCTATTTGAATTATTAAAACAGCTGTATTCTCACTAACATCTGGGTCGTCTCTGTTGATTGGCTCTGCCCTTTGCAGCCGCAGCGCGTGTTACTTCAGCATCCCCTTTAACGCCCGCCCCGGACGGCAGAGGGACACAGGTGCCCGGACGTGACGGGGGCTCCGGCGCCCTTCAGCGCCTCGTAGTACCGCGGCTGGTTCTTGTGCAGGCGCCGCCGTGAGGGCCGTGCTGCGCATGCGCGGCGGAGAGCGGTACGTCCGTCGCAGCTCGATGACGCGAGAGCACCGCGTCGCCACC